GATGGAATAATGTCTGAGATACGGAATAATGACACACTGTACAGCCTGAACACATTTTTCTGTCTGTAGAGCCAACCTCCTCCCTCTGACTCGTTCCCCCTCTCCTGAGACTCTCCCTGCAGGGAAGGAGAAGCTAGTGGCCTGAGGAGGGAGAATGGCAGACCAAGGAGGTTGGGAGTATTCTGGCTTACAACTACTTTGGGACTAGTTAGGAAACATCTATTTGGGATTCAAACACACATGACATTTGTTGTGGATTCTGCTTATAGGAGATAATCCCAAAGAGAGGCTCACACCTGTTATGGCAAATGCCCATGGGTGCCAGAGATCAGAGACAACCAGACTGGCCCCAGTGGGGAAAAATTACCTAAACACCAGGGTACTCTGCAGCCCTTTAAAAAGCATGAGGCCCAGTTGTGTGTAAGATGAGAATTCTCCTGCAAAACAACTAGTGACAAAGGACAAAACAGTGTATAAAAGGGGGGAAGCTTGTAAATTCGTATCTCGCTTTCACAGACTTGCAAGGATTAGCTAATTTAATCCTCGTAACAACCTCATGCTGTATTGTTGTCCCTACCTTACAAAGCAGGAACTGAGGCACAGGGAGGCCATGTATTGGAATATTTCATAAAAGGAGACACAAAAGTCATCCCAGTGACCACCTCTCGAGATAGGCAGTTGCAGATGGAGTATATTTATTTTTACTCTTTAACCTTTTGTACTCTCAGAAATTCTAGTGGGCCTGTATCACTTTTTCAAAAGTCTCAAATGTTATAAATAAAGTGACAAAACAATGATCAGTCCTTTTGGGGGTTACCATGTAACCTACCCCCTCTCCTGAGACTCTCCCTGCAGGGAAGGAGAAGCTAGTGGCCTGAGGAGGGAGAATGGCAGACCAAGGAGTTGTCAGAATTCCTCTCCTGGCCTCTCCAGGGTAAATCCCCCATCTTGCACCCACCTAGACCAAGAGGGACTGCAGGGTCCCCTTTCCCAGGGAAACTGAGACCCTCAGCTATGCCTGACCTCCTGGCATCTGCCCCTCTCTGAAAACCAGGGTCACCACTGGGATGTCATGTGCTGTGCTCTGGAAACTTCCTTCATGAGATGACCAGGCTCCACACCCCAGGGCCTTTTTTTTTTTTTGAGACAGAGTCTCGCTCTGTCAGCTAGGCTGGAGTGTAGTGGCACGATTTCAGCTCATTGCAACCTCTGCCTCCTGGGCTCAAGCAATTCTCCTGCCTCAGCCTCCTGAGTAGCTGGGATTACAGGTGTGTGGCACCACGCCCGGCTACTTTTTGTATTTTTAGTAGAGACAGAGTTTCACCATGTTGGCCAGGATGGTCTTGAACTCCTGACCTCAGGTAATCTGCCTGCCTTGGCCTCCCAAAGTGCTGGGATTACAGGTGTGAACCACCGCGCCCGGCTGAACACCCTGGGGCCTTTATGGCACCTTCAGGCAAATTTGAAAAAGAAGCGTCATCTTCAAGACTCTTATCTTCCAGAAAATTGTCATAATAAATATCCAAGTAGCCTATCTTTGGTTTTTAAATAAGTTATAATAAAATACAAAAACATTTCAAAATTATAAAGATGTCTGCAGTGATGGAATAATGTCTGAGATACGGAATAATGACACACTGTACAGCCTGAACACATTTTTCTGTCTGTAGAGCCAACCTCCTCCCTCTGACTCGTTGGAACACTTATTTTATTTTGTGGAATGAAGTGTTGCCTGATTCTAGAATTGCAAATGAGGTCAATTGAGATCTTTAAACTGAGTTTGTTGCAGTTTTGTCTTCAGACAGGTTTCTGTTCTCCTGCAGAGACTGGGAGACAAGAGGCCTCACCCTTGCTGATGATCACCTTTCAAAGGGAGGGCTCTCAGGCTTTGAGAGAGGCCCTTCTGAGTCGCAAGACATGCTTACAAACTGAAAGCTTTTTAGTAAATGCTCCAAGAAAGGGAGGTCGGGGCCTATCATCAGAAGTTGGCTAGAGCAGAGGTCCCCAAACGGGCCACATAGTAGGAGGTGAGCGCATGGGCAAGCGAGCAAATGAAGCTTCATCTCTATTTCCAGCTGCTCCCCATCAGTGGCATTACGCCTCCTGAGCCCCGCCTCCAGTCAGATCAGCAGCAGCGTCGATTCTGATAGGAGCACGAACCCTATTGTGAACTGCGCCTGTGAGGGATCTCTGTTGTGTGCTCCTTGAGACTCTAATGCCTGATGGTCTGTCACTGTCTCCCAGATGGGACCGTCTCATTGCAGGAAAACGAGCTCACGGCTCCCACTGATTCTGCATTATGGTGAGTTGTACAATTATTTCATGATATATTGCAATGCAATAATAACAGAAACAAAATGCACTGTAAATGTTCATTTGAATCATCCCAACCCTCCCCTCAACCCATCTGTGGAAAAATTGTCTTCCGTGAATCCAGTCCCTGATGCCAAAAAGTTTGGGGACACCTGGGCTGGAGCATGGTGAGATTTCCTCACTGCACTGAGCTTTTGCAGGCGGATGTTTTAGTGGAAGCAGCAAGGGTGCAAGTGCTGCTGGGCCATCCTGGGGGTGCAGTCTTAGGCTGCTGGAAGCCATGCTGGATACTTCTGTCAAGTCTCTTAGTGTGAGGGTTTGGATGAGTTGTCATGTGCTGAGGGTTCAGCAGTTCTCCGTGGGTCCCTGTCCACTTCATTGGCCCCTAATAATTGTTTCTGAGTGCAGAAACTAAATTTTAGCTTCATTTCACACATATTGCCTCTAGCCGTTTTTCTCTACTGCCTCGTCTAGCCACTACCGCCTCGTGTATT